GTAAGGACGAATGGGCTAAAGTGTGCAAGAATGATCAAGAGTTATTGGAAATGTTTAGTTGCAGTTATTGCTCCCCAAGGAGGACATACCATTTACTGAAAGCAAAGGTTCACATACTTTTGCCACACACAAATATGTAGTTTTGGATCATTTTTCTAAATGAATAAATGAATAAATGAACAAATATAAATGTTTTTGACTCATTTTGTTTACTTGTGTTTTCTTTATCTAGTTTTAGAACTTGGGTGGAAAAAAGATTATGTTTTAGGTCATATTTATGCAGAAATACTGAAAATTCAACAAAGATTCACAAACTTTTAAGTATCACTGTACTTTTGTTTATAGCACCCAGTTCAAAACTTGTTATTTACTTTTAAGACTAAAAGAAGAAATCATGTCAAGAATTGCTACTGCTTAAATACATTTAATTTTATATTATTGTTGCATTATCTTCTGCATATATCTTTGATATATAGAAACCAACTTTAACAGTATAAAGAGAAAAAGTGATTGTTTTAGCTGCTATATCTCTGAAAGCTCTGCAATTTATCAATCAACATCAGTGCATATTAACTGAATATAGTTTTACACTTTGCTGTGTTTCATATACTCCTGTATAGTATATACCAGTGTTTCTCAGCCACTTTAAGATGGGTGGACCTCAACTCCCAGAATTCCCCAGCCAGCCAAGCTGGTTGGAGAATTCTGGGAGTTGAAGTCCACTCATCTTAAAGTGGCTGAGGTTGAGAAACACTGGTATATACTATACCGGAGTATATGGGGAAGCCAGCAGGAAGTCAGAAGTTAATGGTCATGTCATGTCACACCTCACTTAACAATCTACGTGGTCTTCGCTTAATGGCAACCGGGACTGCCGGAATTGCTGTTGCTAAGCAACACAGTCAGATGACATCGCACTTTACAACTGCGTCACTTAGCAGCGGCAATTCCATTCCCAATTGCTGTTGTAACCTGAGGACTACCTATAAGACATTTTGATGGAAGTTGGTACACAAATCATGCATGTTAATTAAAAAAATATATAAAATAGGCAGAAGATGTTAACCAAATAGGTTAACATTTGGTTAATGTTTATTATTAACATTTGGTTAATGTTTATAACCTAATATGTCTAGGAAAATGAGTAAAAGCAACAGTTTTGAAAGAAAACACAATCAAACCAAATCTCATGAAGACTATTTGAAGAAGTCACCAATTTGGCAATTATTCAAATTACTATGTGAATAATGCAATATAAGCTGTCCAATGGAAAATATAAATTGTAGGCCTATGAGGACCAATATAGATTCACTTCAATGAAGAAATTTGGACTATACTTTGCTGAAGTGATGAGGCCACTTGATTCATGTCAATAAAGCAAACTGAGCACCCTTGAACTGTTCGGGACCAAAGCTGCAGGAGCAAGCTAAGAAGACTGAGCACTGGGCAAAGTGCTTTCAGGAAGGGTAGCTTTGGGACTCCTCAGAGTCTTCAGCGAAGTGCACTCTGAGATGGTTCCAGGCTGGATGCTGAGGGCAATTTCACAGCATTTCCTGAAGCTGTCCAGCCTGGAAGTACTTTGGCCAATGGTGTGGGAGAAGGGTCCTCTAAATCTTTTCCTGGAGAATTCCTTTACTATTCTACATTGCTGGCTTCTTATGAGTTGCCAAAGGCAAGTGACATGAAAGGAAACATGCATCTGCACTGCTGGATTCTAAATGCTCATCAGCTCACCATTTGTTGGGAGAGTCCAATGGCATAAAAAGATTCCTTGCACAAGTAGCTTAGAGGAGGTTCCAGGCTGGGAGGTACCAGCCTGGGCACTTCCAGTGGCATTGCTTTCCTTAGCGACTGCAGCAGTGCTGTGAAGTCGCCTGTGAAGGCTATGAAGGGCTGTCTCTCACAGAGCCTGGTGAAGGGTGCTCCTCTCAGTCTTCCCTTCAAGCATAAGCTCTATGGAAAAGCAGTTGGGGGACAATGGTTGTATATTGTTTCATGAAGCAAACTCAAGAAAGTGAAGCATGGGGTACTTGATACCAATGAGGTTCAACAAGCTCTGCAATATAAACACATTCTAAACAGGTAACGCTGAGTATAATGACTTTCTTATAAGATCCAGTGGAGAAAATCTACCAAGTATTATCATTACCATCTCTAAGAAACCAGACTGTGTTCTGTTACTATATATTATAAGTATACTGTTACTATGCAAATCTAAATTATTTAAATTGATAAAATATCATATTGATTTTAAAACTGCTTTAAGGATATCTGATTGCTTCTCCAAAGCAGTCTAATTTTGCTTTTCACATAGGCTTCAAAAGGTGTCTTTAAAGCTTTATTTTGAGTTTTACAGTGATTTACCCTTAAATCATATATTATATTGGCAGAGTGATTTTTTGGCACGTAAGTGGCTGATAAATACAGAGACGTTATGGAAACTCACAATATATGTAGCTACCTGTAAGCCAACCTGCTCTCTCTCCCCCCCAAACAGTTAGAAAAAAACAATGGAAGATTATTTCAATATATAATTACTGCAATGAGATTGCTCTATGCACAGAGATAGAAAGATTTGACACTACCCACTATGGAGGAATGGTTGGTGAAGTTGATAGATTTTTCTGAAATGGATAAATTGACTTCTTTGATTAGAGAAAAGACACTATCTACATTTATTGGTGACTGGAATCCTCTTATGGACTTTTTGTGTAACAATGAAAAAAATGAACGTAATTTATGGTTTTGATGATTAGATAGGATAGATTATAGAAAGAAGAGTAATATGATGTACTATTAGAGAGAGAGGTTAAAATATATTTGTACTTATAACTGCTGTGAAGAATATTGGAAGCCACTTTTATATATTTTTCTTTCTTTCCTATTTTTTCCTGTTTTTCTTTTCTTGCACTTTTTTGCTTTTTCTTTGATCTTCCTCCTCCTCCTCTTCTTCTTCTTACTCCTCCTCCTCCTCCCTTTATATTATTTGTGTTAATTTTTAGCTTCTTGTTTAAAAGCTTTAATAAAAATTATATTAAAAAAAGTTTTTAAGAACTACTGAATACGCTTTAGCCACAGCTCAGCTATCAGTTGGGAGCTGCAGAAAAACTGCCTCACATTGTCAAGAATGCAACAGCTTTGCCTGACACAAATTACAAACACACCCATCCCACCTTTTGTCTTGCCAGTAGCACACACTCCTAATCCCATGTATGATTTTGCTGCAATTTTATACATTCAAAAACAATGTCCGTTGCCCATATGTATCATAGCACCCAAAATAAATAGAAAACACAAAGTTGAAAAGAACTCAGCAGAGAAGAAAAGGAAGAAGACAGAGAAAATATAGTCACACTCAGAAACCAAACTTAAAAGAGATGCGTCTGCTATGGAGGATGAGAAACTGAGGGGAATCCTTAGCAGCGTCTCATGGAACACGTGGTACAGATGGGGAGGAATGGGTTCCCACTTAAAAATCTCAGCTCTAGAACATTCTGAATGGGTGCAGAACTGACAAATGATTTTTTACCTTTTATTGGTTTTATTGTACTTTGATTGCTGTGAGCTGCCCAGAGTCATCATACATGTTTAATAATTCATCATTATTTATTTATTTATCAAATTTGTCACTGCCCATCTCATTGAAACGACTCTGAGCGGTTTACAGCGGATGTGATAAAATTCATTAAAATGCAATATAAAAATAGTCTTAAAATAAATAGATTCCAAGAAAGATGGAGAGTTGGTGAGTAATTCCAGGGAATGTCGTCAGGAGGCTAACCACCCCAGGGACAGGTACAGCCCATATCACCCCATGCACACTGACACTGAATTATTATTATTTAATAATATATTTAATATATTATTATTCTTTTACTATTAATAGATGATGATGATTATTTATTTTTTTAAGATCCTGGGTTGTTCCCAGCACATTTAAAATGCTGTTCCTTGTCCTACACTGTTTTGGACTTAATTATCTGAAGAGCAACTTCTATCTTGTGTGATAATGCCATCTGATGGCATGTTGGAATGTCTGCAATGAGGTATGTTTCTTAATGGGTTCCTGTCCTTTTTATAAAACTTTCTCCTTGCAATGCTTGGCTTGGAGACAATGTTCTTTTTCAGCACCAAGTAAATACAATTTCATTCTCCTAGAACTTCGAAATTATTTATTTGCTGTTTTCATTTTAGTTTAATGTAAAAGTTGTTATGTTTTCTTGTTTTTAATAAGGATGCTTGACTAGCAGGCTGCTGTGCTTTGAAAAAAAAAAACAGGCCTCTTGGGGCAGCCACCTATCAGAAAGGCTTCTTGGGGAGAGTCATGTTCCATATACAAGTAAGTCCTTGAGTTACCACCATTCTTTCAGCAACCGTTCGAAGTTATGACAGTGCTGAACAAAGGGACTTACAATCAGTCCTTGAAGTTCTGGCCACTGTAGTGCCCCCATGGTCATGTGAACAAAATTTGGACACTTGGCAACCAGGTAGCACTTATGACTAGTTGCAGAATCCCACGGTCACACGACCACCATTTGCAACCTTCCCTGCCAGCTTCCCACAAAGTCAATGGGGAAGCCGGCAGGGAAGGTCGCAAGTTGCTTGGGTAAGTCTCCCCCACCCCCATCTTTCTTCACTCACACGCACCCCATGCCCTCTTTCCCCAGCCTCCCTGCACTTGCCCACACACGCCCCATGCCCTCTTTCCTGGCTTCCCTGTGCTCACACACACGGACCCTCACACACACACCCTCTTTCCCTGGCTTCCCTGCACTCATACATATGTACCCGACGCCCTCCTTCCCCGGCCTCCCTGCACTCACACACATACACACACCCTGCTTCCTGAGTTCACAACACACTGAACCACCCCTTGCCCAACTCACACATGGCCTGCGCCAGGCCTTTCAGGGCCTCCCTGCCCCCTTGTGGCACCCCTGTGCCCCTTACCTGGGACTCCTTCCACTTTCCACTTAATGACCCACATGTCTTTGGTTACGTCACACTTTATGACCACATCATTGAGCAATGGCAATCCTGGTCCCAACTGCAATCGTAACTCAAGGACCACCTGTATTCTGTCTTACACTGGTTAGTTAGGGAAACGTTTCTCAGGGACCACATTGAAGAATGGCAGCTGAAAGCCATGTCTCTGCACATTATGCATAGTAGCAGGTAACTGAAGAAGTACTTGCCCTTGCAGATATCTGATGTTTTATAAATGTATGATTTACACAAGTCTTATACAATTCTCCTTTCTGTGTTTGTTTAAATAGGAAAGCATTACAAATGGCAAGAGCTGGATTTTCCAAATTGATTACTCACCCATTCTTTTTCCTGAAGCCACAATATTTCCATTCAATCCAACTCCAGGAGACTAAAATTTAAAAAGAAAAGGGTGGAAAGAGTAATGAATGTGAACATAAGCAATGAGTAAATGAACTAGACTTTTTTTAAATAAAAAAATCTACAAAATAATAAACAAATACTGAGTCTTAAATTTTTGGTTCCAAAACATTGAATTCTAATAGTAGTGAAAAAACAGAAATGCAAATATATTCTTCAAACAGCTACACTACATTAATTCCTTGAAACACAGCATCAGCTTAATACTCATTTATTCAAAACATATTTATACAACCTGTAAGTTCATTATATAATATGCATAATCGTACAATAATAAAATAGAGAATACAACTGCCTAGAACAACATCAAACACTTTTGAGCACAGTATGAAGAATCTTTAAAAATCCAATTTAACATCAGTATTAAATCAATTCCAGACTAACACTTATTATTAGATTCATATCCCAGTTGTTTTTTTACGACTCAAGCTGCTTCCCATTTCCTCTATAGCAACAGCTGGGCTAAGAGTCATCCAGCCAGCTTCCATGCCAAGGGAAGAAGAGAATTCATAGTTGCCTGGTTTCTAATCTACTACATAAACACTAGACTAGACTAAACTGACATTTAGGTCTTTAAGGCTCACTTAAAAGCAAGAAATGAGGTGTGCCTCTACAAGAAGGCAGCATCACAAAGAAAGCCCTTTAACTTTTGCCCACCAAATATCTGATGCATGAACTTGACAGCACACATTCTTCAAATAATCAGGTAAAAGCATGCTATTTAGAACTTTGGTTGGTCTATATACCAAACTAAAGAGACCATTAAATTCTGTAAGACCAACTCATTTGTTTTCATAACATTTGTACATATTTTTATTGCTGCTCAAAATAAATTTCAAGTAGTAACTTAAAAAAAAAAAAGGGTTCCTAGAAAAAAGAGTCCAGTATTAGATTGCCTTCAATGTTTGATCAAGGTTACTTAAACAGTATGGATCCAAAGGCAGGAGTAGGGGAATAACTAATTGTCATTTACGTGACAGATTTACAGAAAGATATTACAGTATGTGCTGGATTTTAATAAAGTGAGATCCTTGAAAAACAAAGGAAGAAGGTCTTGGTCTGAAGTAAGAAAAGAATGGAGTTTACCTTCTCCCCAAGACACTGGTAATTCAAATTTGGAACCCAGGAACCCAGGAAAAAGAAAAGTCCAATAAAAAGAAGCAGAGGATCTTTGTTTCAAGAGGGTTCTATTTCTGGGGAAATAGGTAATATGTTTTTATCAGGCATCTATGCATGTTTTTTTATTTATAGTCCTGTAGTTTTAGCACAGAAAAAAAGAGGCTTGCACAAACAAAAGTTACTTTTATTTCAAGCTTCCAGTTTTGGTGAGACAGCCAGGTTAAGAGGCAGAACTCTCCTGCAGGCTACTGAAGAGCAGGAAGCCATTTTTAGCTACCCAGTCAGCAGGAGACATTACAAGGGACAAAGACTGAGGCAACCAACCTAATCACCCTGACAGGACCACTAAGCTTAGGAAACTGGAAGACTTGACAACTATCCAGGGAGATTTAACAAGATTGGGGCTGGAACTCCAGAGGCAAACCTTTAATAAATGGAACTAGAGTAAAAGGAAACACCTGGAAGTGATATTCCAGTGAATCAGGGAGGCAAGAAATACCCAATTGGTCAAAATCAAAATCCGGTCGTCAGTAAGGACACCATGGGCGTATCCTGCAGAGGGAAGACTGGGGCAATGATTCTTGGGGCTACTAAGAGGGCAGCCTGCCTCTTAGATGTAGCCTGGAAGAGCACCCCCAATGTGGTGGCGTGGGCGGAGGAATGCTAGGCTGGATCTGACAAGCTGAAAGCAGCCCTCAGCAGGTATCCTCTATCACAAGCTCCTGACTTTGACAAATCATTCACATTAACCACTGATGCCTCAGAGAGAAGCAGTGTTAACAGACCAAATTCTTTGCCAGGTGGAATTCCTTGAGTCAGATAAGAACTCTGTGTCAGATAATTAAATTAACTCCTTAATAACTTTGATAGCCACCCACTTGTAACAAGGATTAAAACAGAATAATAGTTAAAACTAAATTACAGTGGTTGAATTTAGGAGGAAAAAGACCAGTTTCATAACATTCAACCTCAGTAATGTTACCCCAAATGCCCTGACCCAATCCCTGTAGAAAAAGTCAGGTTAAAGCAGTGCTTCCCAAACCTGGGTAAATTACCCAAAATTGGGTAAAAGTGTTTTTTCTTTGAATAACAACACATGAACCCATTACCCAATCACAACATGGACATTTAAGTAGACTTAAAATATTTTACCTACATTGGGTAAAAAGGATTTTCTGATAATGAAGGAAAAAGTTTGGGAAGCACTGCCTTAAAGGCAGGCAATGTTGTTCCAGACTGCAAGTGCAGCAAAGCGAAGATATGCTTCCTGGGTCCCATAAGATTACATTGCTTACTAGATGCTTAGTGGACAGGCAGACACAATGGGAGGCAGGCAGTACTAAGGGACACCCTTAACTAGTTATACTGCTGCATTCTGAACCAGTTATTACTACTTAAGGGCACCCCCAGGAAGGGTGCACTATCTTATTTATTTACTTAAATTTCTAGCCCATAAAATTCCAAATTACTCACAAAGTAAAACAAACAAATAATTCCATAAAAACATAACATCTATAAAACTACCATTCAAGAGAACAAAGCCATCCTCCCACATCCGCCTGAGCTCAATGGGGTCTGCCGATCTATCTTAACCCAAGGTTTGAGGAAAAGCCAAGTGTTTAAAGAATGCTGAAAGGTAGACAAGGTGGGGGGGCCATCTGAATCTCTAGGGGGATGCTATTCCAAAGCACAGGTGCAGCAATAGACGAGGCCTGCTTCTGGGGCCCTCAAGAGCTGTCAAACCACATGTGGCCCCCAACACTCCCGAGAATGGCCCAAACCAGATTAAAATGCAATTGGGAAATATTTAACAAAATAAAATAAAACCACATTAAAACACAGATAATATGGCATTTTAAAACTCAACAGATGTGGTCACCAACCACCGTAATGCTCCAGGCTCACGAGGAGTCCTGTACAAGTTTGCCACCTTGGCTTAACTGCCACAGCCAGCATTGCTTGGTGCTGCCCTGGCGTGGCCTGAGCAGGAACACCACGTGACTCAAGTTCCCTCTCCGTCTGTGCTGCAGCAGCGCTGAGCGAGCCTCGTTGCAACAATTAGGCCGAGGCAGCGAGCTTGTGCCTTTTCCCCGGGGCAGCAGACAGGCAGCCTTGTGCCAGCAGCCGACGTGCCTTGGACCCCAGAGCCTCCAGCGCATGAAGTAGTGCTTCCCACGAAACCAGGCTGCATTCCTTTCTCTGCCCCCCCCCACAAAAAAGTTGTATTTCCCTTCTTCCTCTTTAATTAATGTCTGTTCAATTTTGGGCTGAACAAAGTCCATTATTGTTAACTTTATAAAAATTTCAATTTTAAAATTAGTAAAGTTGCATTATACAAAAAACATTACATTATTATTATATGTATTATATACTTTATACAAAAAATATTTAGATTGCCTCCCTCTTTCATTTTTCCCCATTTCCCCCTCTTCTCTGGATATATTCTGCCTATTTAAACCTTTTATTTTAAATAAGCTCAGAAGACATCCAGAGAAGAAGGAAAAAATGGGGAAAAATGAAAGAGAGGGGGCAATCTAAATGTTTTTGAATGCTTTTGATAAAAGTTTCTTGAAAAAGATGCCAAGTTTCTAGCAAAGAACATTAAATTCACGTTAAACCTTCTTGTAGTGATGTTTTGTAATGATGTTGAATGCTTCTTTTCATCTATAACTAGTTCCTGATTTGTATGCATGTATGTAATAAAGATATAAATAACATAAATTTTGAAAACAAATGGTCAAATTCATAATAATGATATATCTTTTTTATTAGTTATATCTAGTTCCTATCTGATTTTAATGTGTTGATGAACCAACTCTACCAGATGGGCGACATTAGAGGAGACAGGCTCTAACAGCTAAGCCTATGCCATGCAGCCTTTACAGGTAATGACCAGCACCTTGAATTCTATCCAGAAGCCAACCAGTATAGGAGGGGTGTCACATGGGGCTTGCCCACCACTGCTCATGCTGCAGTACTCTGGACAGGCTGAGGCTTCCCAGTATTCTTCAAGGGCATGTAGAACATATTGCAATAGGATCTTCTTATTCAGGAAAGGGCTGAAATTGGTGCAGCAGATGAATCTATACAAAGGCCTTCCTGGCTGCAGCTGCAGAGCACTCCAAAAAAGTAGGAATGTTTGAGTCCAGAACACTCACAAATTGTACACTAGCTCTGTCTGGAAAGTGCCACTCCATCCATAGCTAGATAAATCCTGGACCCAGATGACTGCAACCCCCACAGCCACTAGGTCTTGCCAGAGTTGAGCTTCATCTTATTTCTCCCCATCCAAGTTCCAATAGTCTTGAAGTACTGCAACAGCACTTTGACTGCATTACTTGATCAGCCCAAGGTTGAGATATACACCCAGCTATTATCAGTATACTAATAATACCTGACCCTGTAACAGACAACCTTGCCCAGTGGCTTCACATAGATGTGAAACAGGAGAGGACAGAGTGTTGAGTCCCAAGAAATCCTGCAAACCAGAACCCTTAACACTGGTTAATTTCCCCTCCCCCAACATTGACAGGAACCTGCCAAAAGAGATCCACTGCCACATTGTGCCTCCCATTCTCAAACCCCATAGCCAATTCAGAAGGATCAGTGGTGTTGAAAGCTGTTGAGATCAAGAACCAGGATACCATCCCTATCCTGACTGTACTAGAGATTATCAGCAAGCATGATCAGTACTGTTTTCATGTCTAAATCTAGACTAAAAAGGATTTAGATAGTCCATTTCCTCCAAGCCCCCCGGGAGTTGCAACCCAACCACCTTTTTAAGAACCATAGTGTATATCCTTTGAAAAGCTACTTCACTTCTCTATGGATATGACTGTACAATTAGTTTTG